AGCCTCCCGAACAACCAAATTCCCTCCCACAGAGCGTGTACGCTCCAAACCCGTGATCATGGTAAGCTAGACTCACAGTCCTCTTCATGTGCGGTTCTGACATCCCGATCAGCAGGCCATGACACCCATCACCCCGCTGGAGCCGGGCGTGGAAATGTTCGAACGAGGAAAGACACAGTCGTTCTTTTCCAATGCTCTAACGGCCCGCTCATCGCTAGAGCGCCCGGTTTCTCACATCAGTGTTGCATACACCGATATCGAGGATGATTCTAGCGAATTCGAGGAGTTCAGTGGCTCGTCTGTATGTATATTCTGGCCCTCCACCAGATGCGACACTGACTTTCCAAAGAGCGACAACAGGCGAAGTCAAACAACGATTTCTACTTTTGAGGAAGTACAGACACCTGCGGAAGAAGTACGACCACAGTTCGCCTATTGGCCAGAGCGGAAGTCAGTAGAAGGCCCCAGAGGACCACACCTCTTCCGCGCCTCAGTGTCGTCCAGCGACTTTCCGTTTGACGAGGGCCAAGTAATGCAGATGTCGCCTCTCCTGCCAAAAGAAACCCCACTTCGTCTTCCAACCTCCTTCCGAGAGGCCACTCCCGAAACCATTGTCCCCCAGAGAGAGTACAACAATATCGCTCTCGCCGTTGCCCACTTGGACAACGCTGAAGTGCGCGCCTGGACTTCCAAAGACGTTGCTACCTGGATGTATCAGAACGGATTTGAAGACGACGTAATTGACAAGTTCATGGAGCACGACATCTCCGGTGCGGTACTCCTGGATCTGCAGTTTGACGACCTGAAGGAGTTGGAGATTCAGTCCTTTGGCAAGAGACACCAACTGTGGAACCAGATCGATTCCCTGCGCACTGCCGACGGGCTGATGTCGCCAACTGCCCCAGCAGCCATCCCGACTCCTTTCGAAGACATTGAACGACCATGCACAGAGGCACGAAACAGGTCCAAGAGCAAGGGCCGGAAAGCTAGTCGACGCGACAAGTTGCGAGGGAACCACATGACAGACGATGTTATCACACCTGCGCATTCCGTCTCCATTGTAGCGATTGAACAGCTGCTTCCCAAGCCACACGTGTGCGCAAAGGGTGAACGATGCGCCAAATGGAGGAAGCAACAACGGCAACTTGCCAGACTTCAACAGGAACACGGCTTCCCGATCTCGCCCGAGAAAGGTGGTCATATCTTCATCGCGGGTGACCCAGGCAACCCCCAAACAGCGTCCCACGCTGTCGAGAACGTCCACCGCCCGAACTCAGAAGCTACCCCTTCTGTTGTGGTGCCGTCTGTCGTAGCATCGTCCGACGTCCTCGGGCCTGGCCAGCTACCTGATTTCAGTCTTCAAGACCTAGAGAAGTTCGAGCAACGCGACCCACAAGACAATGTGCGACAGTTCCTCACCCTACAAGGCCAGCAGCAGCCCTTTGTCAGCGCTACTCCCATCGAGGCTCCTCCTACCCCGCCTACAGAATCATACCCACCTCGTCCCTTCTTGGTGATACCACAGCAATCGCACTACCCGCAGGTTTCAGCCTTTTCTGCATCTACATCGGCGCATACAACAAAGTCTTTCGATCCGTTCGGTCGCTCACCCTCAACTCCAGCTCTGCACCCGCCGGAGTTCATGCCAGCACCTCATTCGAATCTCAAGAGCCTTCCCAAATTGACGATTCCTCCCGCACGTTCAATGTCTGCCCAACCGGCTGGTAACCCACGCCAAGGAGTCCCAGTACAACAATACCTCGCACCCGACACCGCATTCTCGCCATGTAGGACAGCGTCACCAGGTGGCGTCTACCGGTTCGGCACGCCCTTCTCCGAGATGGACGTTCCTGTGACTGCTGTGCAACAGGAGCCACTTAGTCGCGACACAAGCCAGTCCGTGCCCCCGAACATGCAGTACCAGCCCCAAATCCAAAGAGTTGGATCGCGTCACGACCGAAGGCGCCCCTCGTTGCCCATGCCGGCGCTTGCTGAGGATCGCGTGTTCAGCCCAACCGCCCACTCAGATGACGACACCCTGCGCGGAACCATTTTCGACGACTCGGTCAGTACTAGCGACAGCGCTGGCTCGTCGCCGCTCAAAGCTACCCAGCCATTCGCCAGCGAAGCTAGTGACACGATTGCGCCTTTGCACAAGGGAGGCTTTGTGTACAAGGGAGTGAACCACCACGGATGGATGAAGAAGCGCCGCACGAAGCTCCTGCGTCACGAATGGCAAGACCACCACTTCCGCCTCCAGGGCACACAGCTAGCTATGCATCCCAATGAGCTGCCATCTTCATCCGCACTGCAGACGATCGACGTGGACGACTACGCAGTAGCATGCTCATCGATCGCTTCCAACAAGCTCTCCGCCAAGTTCAAGGCCCTAAAGCTCTCATCGGGCCATCACAAGGAGAAGTCAGCTGCTTCTACTCCTGCCTTTGAGTTCCAGCTTGTGCCTGCCGCACCTGGCAAAGGCGATGTCAAGAAGGTGATGCCCAACGGCAAGGTCCAGCACTTTGCTGTGACTACCAAAGACCAGAGAATTGACTGGATGCGTGAGCTCATGTTGGCTAAGGCCTTGAAGGCTAAGAGCGACGGCTACGAAGTCAATGTCAATGGCGCTAACATGTGATGGCTACACTTACATGGCCATCACACTTTCCTTTACTAGTCTGTTTTTGTTTCGATTGTTTTTGGTCTAGCAAGCGAGCGTATGTTTTGTCGTCTTCTTGATTTCTGCGCAATCTCCTCTTCCTCAGTCCGATCATGATCCGCTATTATACCCTTTCCGTTGTTCTTTTTGTTTTGCGCCATCCTGCATGTTACTGCTATTTGTGTCTTCTCCCAATCTCTTGGAGGCAGCATATATTTACTTTCACTACTGCATACATCTAAAGACTTGGAACGCTGAGCGGGGCCGCAAGGTCAGGGAACATTTGGTTATTCTTTGGTTTGAACATGGTAATGTCTTGGTCATTTTGCTCGAGCGTGGAGGTCTTGCAACAATCACTCCTTGAATTGGGTGGTATTTTTTGCTTTGTCTAAAAGCTGTCCTTATGTTGAGATGAAGTGAGATGGATGCAAATGTGGGGCGGGAAGGTGAAGGAACATCTAGGTACTATCCATGAACACGAATGAACGTCATACTACAAACTCTTCCTCCATCCACCCATCGCCGTGCTTCCACGTATAGATACCACTTCATCACCGCCTTCCGAAGCATCCATGCTCGTCACTTTCTTTAAAACACTCGGTCTCCGACGTTGTTCTCGTGGGGTCGCCCCGGCGGTGTGCGTTGTTCTCTCCCGGCCGAAAGCAGCCCCATCACGAAACCACGTCGGCCCCCGAATACGTCAACCACGAATATAGTCAACTTATCCACATAATACCGCTAATTATGATCCATTACTTGTTATTCTTATTCCAAATTCTTTCCGTTGCTAAAATCAATCTTTAAAGCCCTAAAACACACATGCCACCTGGTCCGCTCGCTTGGTTTCGCGCATGAACCTCCATCACTCGCATGTGAAACGTCACCCGATATGTGACATGCTAAGCGATAATGTGCGATACGTTCAGCTCAATCGTTCGTTGACAAGGCATGTTGTTAAATGCCTTGGACGGTTAGTGTACCGCAGGGCTGGATCGGGCTGTGAGGTGACAAATGTTTGATATTGCGATACTCATCAAATGACACATTAAAGTTTTGAGTGTGGAGTTTTGGCAATACGACGGTCCGGCGACAGGGCATTCATTGGAATCTTGGATATGTTTGTGTGACTTCGGTGAAACGGGATGATATTTATTGGAAACGAATATGCGAAATATCGACTTATTGGAAAGTGGGCGAGACTGGGGGGAAATGGAGCTGAAGCCGTACACCAACTTCAACCTCATCTCTACTTCCATCGCTCCTCCGAGGTTGCATTGTTCTCAGTTCAGCTCGTAGGCAAAACAGACATTCATTCCGCGTCGCACAACCTCCGACTCGCTCCCTCGCCGAGAAGTTTGATAGCACAATCCCCATCTTCTCCACCACCATCACACAAGTCCATGCCAGCGACCAAGGAGCTCAATCTTAGAGCCTCCCTCTCGGTGCTCCTAGACGACCGCAAACGTGTGAATGACATCGGCTACCTGCATAGGTGCACTCTTTTCCAACTAGATGATGCACGTTACAAGGCAAGGTCGCACTGACAGCTGTCAAAATCTCTGGTGCGTCGTGACATGAGCGCGAAGTCATGGTAGTGTTGGTAGTGATGGACCATGGGCGCGGAGATTGTTGCTGTTACGGTGGTAGCTTGAGCGGCTATTCCGAGGGGAGCACGTGTGATGAGTTGGACGAGGCGATGTTGTACGAACATGCGTATGGAGTCGGAGTTCGACTACGTGACCATTGCTTGAAGCTCGGTATGGAAGACCAGATGCATAGTTTGGGGCTGTGTATATGAGCTGACAACGGACGATCAAAGCCACACCGATGTTGTTCAGTAAGTGTGGTATGAATGATTGGATAGTGGAAGGATGATCATGCCAGCAAAACCGCAACGTGGTGGAAGCATGGACACGAATATATTACTAGATACCAAGAAGGAAATCGAGCAAGCTCGTACAGTTTGACTATTACATACATATATAAGAAAAAGAATTAACCAGACGTCTGCCACCATGTATGTACAAACTCTCCATGCCACGAACGTGGTCCAAGAGGTGGGAGACCGGTCAAGCTCTGTCCGTGTACTGATGAGGTACCAGAACATGCCTCATGACTGAGACAGTGTTGTGTAGAGCTATCGGTATAATAACACAAGACTCGTCGCGTAGTTGTCGATGGTCATACTGCAAGTGTAGCTGGCGTGTGTATGACTTGCGAATGATCGAGTGTGCGTCGAGTGTTCTGAATCGAAGGTAGGAGATGGTGCAATCGAGCAGCTGAAATGGCGGTTGTCGTAGTGCGATGTGAGAGTCGAAGAATGTTCTCATCGTGAAGAGGTTTACTCCTCATCGTCTTCGGTCGCGCCAACTTTGGTGTCCCAAAGGGGCCCACCCTGTGGGTTAGGAGCGGGCGCAGCTTCAGCGTTGCGCCCCCAAACTGGCCTTCTCCCTGCGTCAGGAGCGGGAGCAGCTTCAGCGTCGCGTCCCCAAACGGGCTTCGTTCCGGGATACACCCACTTCCCAGCTTCAGGAGCGCGTCCCCAGACGGGCTTATGCTTCTGTGGGTTAGGAGCGGGTGCGGCTTCAGCGTTGCGTCCCCAAACGGGCTTTCTCGTTCCTTCAGCAGCGGGTGGAGCGACGGGAGCGGCTTCAGCATCACGCCCCCAAACGGGCTTTCTCGTTCCTTCAGCAGCGGGTGGAGCGACGGGAGCGGCTTCAGCATCACGCCCCCAAACGGGCCATCTCGTTCCCTCAGCAGCGGGTGGAGCGACGGGGGCAGGAACTGGCAAGGCGGCACTGTAAACAGTGACCGACAGGATGGCGGAGGCGATGAAGGCGGAGATCTTCATGATGTCGAACTTGGAAAGATCGTGTGGTAAAGTATCGTGAAGGTTGGAGAGGATCGACTGTTGATCAGGTAGTTGATGCTGATCCTTGAAGGTGCAGACGATGTCGAAAGATATTGGTGCGTGTTGGGGAGAGTACTTAAGTTCGAAAGAGAGATGTAATCACACGAGAGAACCTAACGGAGGCGTTCCTTTTCTCTATTGACACCCCAGAACATGAATAGGCCACCTTGTTGCTCAATAGACCTTCGGGTCGCCCAAGTCCGATGAGTGAAGGCAAGCGTTCAAAGGGATCACTCTGAATGGAGGTCGGTTAAGGCCCAAAGCAAGGTTATCCAGAGCAAAGAGGTCTTCCAGGCCTTCGGGGGCGCTATGGATCACGGATAACTTGGTCCGAGAAGATTCAAAGCTCGCGGGGAGACGGCGAGCATACGCTTTGCGACAAGTGCAACAAGGGATTACTACAACGTTGAAAGCGAGCGCGTTCTGGTGTTGTGATTACCTCTTTTGGGTCTGAATAGCTTCAATAGAAAAAAGAGGCTTGGCACGGCTCGCGTGCACTCGATATCAGCACAATGACGCGCCACATTATGAAAGATTGATTTTACTGGACCAAAGGACGCCTTCTGGAAGGTTCACGAGTAAACGACTCAGGATTGAGGTATCGGCGTTAAGGAGGCGGCTCAAAGGTGGAGTAGCTTTCATGGAGGTGTGATCGAGCAATATTACGCACATTAGCGCATGTCGAGAATGAAATCATCTTTGAGATCGAGAGAAAGAGACTTCAGGTCCACCAATGATTTTGAATCGATCGCAACCTGCGATCTGTAGGACAATGGGCTCGCCCAGTTGACGTAGGAGGACCATGATGCAAGTGACTCTGCGAGGGCTTCCGAAAGAGCCGTTGTCCTGGGAAAGCAGCGGTTCGACCAGCCGTAAACGGTAGATACGCTGAGAGGCGGAGAATATAGCATTGTCGGCAAGACAATAACGCAAGTGTTGCTCGCATGCAGGGTGCGCTTGGGGGCGCCTGACGACATATTTCGATGGAAAAGAAACACCTGCATGAATGCTCCTTGCAGTGCACCATGTGCCACGTGGGAAGGAGACCCCTAGTCTGAATCCTTTGAATCGCGAACGGTTCCTGTTGGGCTTGTGAGTCTATTGGCAACGCAATACTGATGGGATTACTGTCAGGGGAATCGTCAGCCAGGCTCGATGAGCCCTCTGAATACGAACGTTTTCACTCCATGAGCTCTTTCAAAGTCGCCGGTTTCAGCTGGTGATATGAATGCGAAGGACTCGAGCGACAGGAACGCGTCGTGGTGTGTGTTGGGTTGTCTGAGCAGCCGCCTGGCCGATAAGGAGCTGATTAAGCTAGCGTCGCACGTGGCACCGCGCCAAAAGTTGCCGCGGGAAATCGTCGCGAATCACTGTGAGACGCCCATGAAAGTATGCATGCGAGAATAGCCAGGTCCACGGCGCCTGCGTTCAGAGCGGTGCTTTCGAGCTTGTCCAGGCGGCGGTCAGCATGGATTTGCTCGTCCTTGCAGGCTGGTAGCGGACGAAGCCGCCGACACATTACCACCCAAACGTCGGAGAAGCCCTACTACATCACCACGCCAATATTCTATGTCAATGCTGCCCCGCATGTCGGCCACCTGTATACCATGGTCCTCACGGACGTGATAAAGCGGTGGCATGAACTCAAAGGAGAAAAGGCGTTGCTATGCACCGGAACAGATGAACATGGCCTAAAGGTGGTTTACCTGGCAATGTGATAGTATTGCACTAAATCTGTAACAGGTTCAGAGAGCAGCTGCAAAAGCTGGCATTGACCCGAAACTGTTCTGCGATAAGGGTGCCGAGATCTTCAGAGTACGCATGCACGCATAACGAGCCCCCGCCATCGTTACTTACCTGTACGAGGAACTTGCAGCCAAAGCCGAAATCACGAACGATCACTTCGTACGGACGACGGATAGAGAACACAAGGAAGCTGTCGAGTATGCATGGGTACGAGAACTTGAGTTCAGACGGTGGAAAGCCATGTAGCTGATGGCGGACAGTTCCTGCTACAAGAGAAGGGCCTCATATACGAGCAGAAGCATGAGGGATGGTATTCAGTCACCGACGAATGCTTCTACCCACAGTCTGCCGTACAGCCATATCTTGACCCACCCACAGGGAGGAAGATGATGGTAAAGTTTTGCTGGGGCGGCACTGTCGATCGATCTGACCAGGCTACAGACATCGATTGAGACTGGCAGTGAAGTAGAGTGGTCTTCAGAAGTCAACTACCACTTCCGGCTCTCGGCATTCCAGGATAAGTTGCTCGAGTTCTTCAAGAACAACCCCGAATGGATAACCCCAGAGCACCGCATGAAGGAGGTTGTGCAAGCGGTCGAATCAGGACTGGAGGACCTGTCTGTTTCTCGACCGTATGAACGATTAACGTGGGGTATTCGAGTTCCCGGAGACGACTCGCAGACCATCTACGTATGGCTCGACGCGCTGATGAACTATGCGACTAAGGCCGGATACCCGTGGACACCAGGCCGCGAACAAGCCGGAGGCTGGCCCGCGGACTGTCATGTCATCGGCAAAGACATTGTGCGATTCCACTGCATTTACTGGCCCGCCTTCCTCATGGCCCTTGGACTTCCATTGCCCAAGAAGATTCTGACACACGCTCACTGGACTCTTGGAGGGTCAAAAATGTCCAAATCTACTGGCAGGGTTGTCGATCCTTTCCACGCCCTTGATCGGTTCGGTCCGGATGTTATGCGCTTTTACATGGCGCGCGAGGGTGGTATACAAGACGATGCGAGCTATGACAATTTCCGCATCATTGGTTTGTACAACAAGTTCTTGAACCAGCAACTCGGCAACCTGGCTTCTCGTGTTACACGAGGCAAGAAATGGAGCGTCCGTGGCGCAGTCGAGCGTGTTGGTGGGTGGCCAGCGGAGGAGTGGGCGGAAGGACCAGGTTCCAAGTTCCGGAATAATTCTCTTGCTACCATCGCCTCGCAAGTAGATGCATCTTTTGATGCCTACGATCCGCGTAAAGCCGTGTCTCAAATCGCAGAGTTTGTCCGAGGGGTAAGTCTAGACACTCTTCTTTCTGCCATCCTACTAACTCGACCAAGTCGAACGCTTTCTTCCAGATGTCGCAACCATGGGACAAGGTCTTGACCTTTGGCCCAGGAGAGCCTGGCGAGGATGTCGACAAGATCATTTATCTTGCTGCTGAAGCACTTCGAATCACCGGTATCCTACTACAGCCATACATGCCGAACAAAGCACGCATGCTACTTGATCAGCTAGGCGTACAGCAAGATCGAAGAACCTTTGAATACTGCAAGCCTGGCGCTGATCTAGACTACGGCACTCCGTTGGTAGAGCTGGGTGCAGCGCACAAGGGTGTGTTGTTTCCCCCACTGCCGAGCGAGGGATGAGAGTCAGGTGTGGTGTACTATATGTATTTGTAGTTGCGAAGCATGGGCAATGAAATAACTCCAGAAGTGAATACAGGTACACTCTGTGAAACTACCTAGGTATGGAGCACGTGTTTGCGTCAATGCTTTAGTCGCTCGAATCTGATCGCGCAAGGGTGCTTTCGCAAAAAGATATTCTTATAAGTACATTTTAACCCTCAAGCATTGCTTGACAGAGGTGAGTTTGGTCAGGAGCTGATCCCGTGTGGCTGGGGCCTAATGCCAAGACTACATCATCGGCCGTCGCGAACTTTAGATTTCTGAGTGAACATTCTCTACGGCAGCACAATCACAGACACCACAACACCTCCACTCCTCTCGCTCCTGACGCTGCATCGGAACTTCCCAAACTCTGCACATCTTTCTCTAGCGGTTACGAAAGCACAACACCAAGCACCGCGCACGCGCCTCCACGCAGGACCTATTCACCATGGCCGCCCCTAAACCGGGCGGCTTCAAGATGTCGCTGGGGGCACTGAAGACGAAGCCAGGGCTGAAATCTTCCCCCGCACAGAAAGACACCAAAAAGACCAAGCTTTTGCTCGGTGACGACGAACCAGACGATTCGAATACGCAACAAGAGATTACGGGATGGGACGCAGCAGAGGGCGGCGCGGTCGATGCCAACGGGAAAAAAGAGAAGGAGGGACCGCGCATCATTCCAGCTTTACCCAACCGCGACTGGCGCGCAGAGGCACGGCGGAAACAACTTGCGAAAGCACCCCATCAGCAAGCGCAAAATGTCACGGTCGATGAGAGCAAGATGGAGGAGCCGAAGGTGCAATATGGCCTTACGATCATCAAGAAAGACGAAGCGCAAGAAAATGGAGCTGCGGAAGCTGAAGCCGCGGAACCGATGGAGGTGGAGCAAGACAATCTCACAGAAGAGCAGCGGTTAGAGAAGAAGGCACTCGATGCGCTGATCAGCGGCAAATCCACGGACAACGATCTCGTGATTCCTGTACAATCAGAAGAGGACGCACTCTTAAACGATCTCAACAATGCGCCCGACGCGCCCACCCTCGAAGCATACGAAGCTACCCCGATTGAAGGCTTCGGCGCGGCGCTCCTACGTGGTATGGGTTGGAAGGACGGCGATGCAATAGGCAAGAACGGTCCTGCTGCGAAACCGAAAGAAGTCAAACGGCGACCAGCGCTGCTTGGCATAGGCGCAAAGGAAGACGCTGCAATAGGCGTTGAGCTAGGGGAATGGGGTGGTGGCAAAGGCAAAGGGAAGAAGGTCGCGCAGAGCTACAACCCCGTTACGCTGCGGAACAAGATTACCGGTGAGATGATCACAGAAGAGGAGCTCAAGGCCAAACTGGAGGCTCAGAGCTTGATCCCAGACGAGAAGCCGTCAAGAAGCAAGAGCATATACGACGACGACAGCGAAGACGACGAGCGAAGGCGCGAGAAGCGGAAAGAAAAACGAGATGACCGCGACCGCGACCGTGACCGCCGACGCGACGACGACTATGACAGCGAACGGAGGAAAGACAAAGACCG